AGTAAAAAAAACTCTAAACAAATTGCAAAGTATTGTTCTGTATCTGCAATAATAGGCAGTCTTCATGTGTGGAGAAGACGATGCCATCTCTATCCTTAATCCATTTATTTAATACTGCACGTAGAATGGATTGAGTGTCTAGTGCCACGCAAAAGATCATCAATGGTTGCATGCTGCTTTTATTGTGAAACATTATGGGCTCCTTACGATTATTTGGATGCTGTGTTGTTTTAATAGTATTAGTCATTCCAAATCAAATGAATCAAATGTATGTATATATATATATATATATATATATATATATATGTATATATATATATATATATGTGTGTGTGTGTGTGTGTGTGTATATATATATATAGATAATAGATATTAAGAGATATAAAAACTATTGTGAATAGAAATGTGTTGAAGAAATCTCTCTGTTAAATAGAAATTGAGGAAAAAAAATAAACAAGGGGACTTCAACTGTGTGCAACAACACAATGTACATATTTAGCGTCTATATGCATTCTATTCTTTTCTTATTAATTGTTTTAATTCATTTATGTTTTTGTTTATTTTCTCTGCATAAATAAACTTTTGATACAGATCAGGCATAGGCTGGTATAAGTTTTTGACGGTATGATAGCCTTGAATAAAAATATCATGGTGTCAGGATATTGTGATAACTTCTCTAAAATAAGTTATTTTTTAATGTCTTGGTTAAAAAACGACCACTTTTTCCCCCATTGATGACAATATATTTCATTTTAGGAAATATTTCTAATATTTTTGAGCCCTAAACATGTCAGGCTAAATAACTTAAATAAACTATGACCTCTGCTGTCTTCCTTAGTTTCAAAAACACAGATTTCTGTCCAATACATGATAAAGAAACCCTTTACATATACCTTTAAGAACAGTATACTATAGTTTCCAAACCGCTGTAAAGCTTAAAAAAAGGTTGTCGTCGACTTTTAAACAGCATTGCTACCAAATCTCCACCACTAATCAACCATCATCAACCGAAGAAATCAATCCATGTAGAAAACTGCTCTGAGATCAGCTCTCATGGATATTAAAGCAGAGCTAAACAAACGAGCCTGGTTTAATTAAAGGGTGAGCATTAAAAGCGGTCGCCCTGAGACCCTCACGCAGCACTAAATATTAGAAAGGACACACGGCTGAGGGAAGAAACACCATGTAACCCCACATCTTTTACCACACAAACTAAAGTTACACTGAAACACTACGGAGGGTTGCAGAGCAGAAATGTGAAGCTTGCATCACGTGTCATGGGAAAGTAAACAGGTTTACTTGCTTTAAAACCAAAACCAACTTCTATGTGTGTGTGTGTGTGTGTGTGTGTGTGTCAGTGCTTTGTATGAGCAGCTTTGATGTAAGATCCCACATTCTGTCCCCCCACAGTCATAAAACACACCATAAACAGCTCCTCTTTCTCTCTCTCCGACACTCTTGTCCTCTTTTCACCCCCCAGACTGATAAAGCGTAAACCCCCACCCAGAGTTCAGCTCTTCACATCTCTCTAAATACAGGATGAAATGCATCCACAGGAGCATTGAAAAAGAAATCAGGACGTGTTGAGATTTACAGTTGAAGTGATGCAATCATTCAATTCCAAAAAGGAAGTTGCCAAAACAGATTTATTCCTCCATAATTTGTATCCGTTTCTGGTAAAAAAATCCAAACAGGATGCATTTGCAGAACACAAGATGCATAACGACAAGATAATACGTTTTTGAATAAATTTTTATGACTTGTTGATGTTTTTTCATGATTTAAAATGACATTTTGGTGTTTTTGCAAGATTTTAAATAACATTTTGATGTTTTTGCATGATTTTTGATGACATTTTGATGTTATTGCATGATTTGTGATAACCTTTAGCTGTTTTTTGAAAGACTTTAAATGAAATTTAGCTTTTTTCATGATTGTTGATTACATATAGCTGTCTTTGCATGGCTTTAGATGAAATGTAGCTGTTTTTGCATGATATTTGATGGCATTTTAATGTTTTTGCATGATTTTTGATGATATTCTGCTGTTTTTGCATTACTTTAGATGAAATGTAGCTGTTTTGCATGATATTTAATGACATTTTGATGTTTTTGCATGGCTTCAGATGAAATTTAGCTGTTTTTGCATTACTTTTGATGACAGTTTGATGTTTTTTCATAATTTTTCATGACATTTTTTTTTTTTTTGCATGACTTTTTGATAAAGTTTTTCTGTTTTTTGCATGATTTTTGATGACATTTTGCTGTCTATGCATGACTTCAGATAAAATGTATCTGTTTTTGCATGATTTTTGATGACATTATGTGGGTTTTGCATGATTTTCCATGATATTTTTAGGGTTTTAGAAATAGGTTTAGAAATATTTAAATAAAATTAATTAATTTGTATTTTTTCCACCCAAATCTTAATTAGCAGATGACAATAATATGCTGTATTGTATATGCAAATATCCGTGTCTGATTTAAATATCAGATGTTGACCAGCTGGCTGACCTCTCTACGGGCACAGATGGCCACTGGTCAAGCAAAGCATTACGGGACGGCATTCATGACCACCACTGACTGCAGGCCCAAAATGAGAATGACCTTTAGGGGCAAAAAAGGGCGAACAGACCAAAAAAACGAGCAACGCCCTCCTCCAGAGACTCATGGGAAGGACAGCACACTGGTCGGCACTGGCAGGGTCAGAGGTCAAAGGTCAGAGGGGGAGGGGTGTGTGTGGTCATTGAGAGTTTAGAGGGAAGAAGAGCCACAAATCTACTTTCAGAAAGACAATGCAGTGCTTTTGTTGGTGGCAAACCCATTCTCAATAAACACCCATCTATCACAGTTTCAAACCCTGCAGCCTCAATTTAAGTCACCATGTACAGCGTTTACACAACTTACACTCCCTCTGTAACCAATTGATAATATGCACAGAATTAGTGCGACTGTCTCTTGGTTAGAGAGTTATTTCCCTAAAATCTACACAATAAACGAAAAACTAAAATGAAATGGAAACTGAAATTAAATAAGAATTAGCATAGATAATAATCATTGTTTACATTGAATAACTACACTAACAGCGGTATTATTTATGCATTACACAACTTACACTCCCTTTGAGGTTATTGCATGATTTGTTATGACATTTAGTTTTTTTGCATGATTTTTGATGACATTTTGATGTTTCGCATGATATTTAATGACATTGAGGATTTTGCATGATTTGTTATGACATTTCGGTGTTTTTGCATGGTTTTCTATGACATTTCGGTGTTTTTGCATGGTTTTTGATGACATTTTGAATGTTTTTGATGACATTTCGCTGTTGTTGCATGATCTTTGATGACATTTTGTTGTTTTTGCATGATCTTTGATGACATTTTGTTGTTTTTGCATGATTTTCGATGACATTTTGCGATTTTTGCATGATCTTTAATGACATTTTGATGAACATAAAACAATTAGTTGTCCTAAAGAAATCTTGTGTTGTTTGAAGAACACATAAAATCAAATCTAACATATTATTTTTGTTAGCTCCCATTGCTAGTTTTGTGCTGAATAATTCATCTGTGCATGTCATTAAGACAACAACAATAGTTTGCCTTTATAATCTTTAATTGGAATGTGCAAATGCCCTTCCTGTTTGTTTTCAGTTCAATTGTGAGATTAGGCCTGTCTAAAATATTGGGTGTGGCTAACATACTTGACCACGCCCCTCCAGCTGTCAGTCAACAAACATAAATGGTGAGGAGGAGGAGTCTGTTAGGTTGTAATAACTCTCCCCAAACCCTTTTCCCGATACTTCTGAATGAAACATCTACTTCACTACATCCAATCAGCTCGCAGATAAAAATAACAAGCCACGCCCACTGTTTTCTCCTTTAATACTCCATTTCTTTACAAACGGCTTCACAATACAAAAAAGCTTCTGGTTCATGTTGACTTTAAAAATGAGCAAATAAGAGGCACTATTTAGGCTGTAAGGCAGTTTTAAAGGTCGCTCTCACTCACCCAGGCCTCCGATGGTGTGCTGGCGGTGGTGTGGAGGAATCTGGGCCTGCGCTGCCTCCGGCTGACCCCTTCATGGTAGGAGAGTTTGAAGCCCTGCAGTCCAGAGCTGCTGCCCGCGGGAAGATGCCAGCGCAGGGTGACTGTCGTGCAGTTCAGAGACTCCAGCTGGAGCTCCGGCGCCAAGGGCACTGCAGGAGAAACACACACTGACCATCAGAAATACAAGGTCACATTAATATACGATCACAAATACAACCCCTAATGCCAAATAAATGTACAATGATACTAATTAAAGAGACATAATATTTTTGGGGGGAGTTTATGAAAAATGTTCGATTTGGCTGGCAAGCACTTCTGAACTGTCATTGGTCAATGGTGGTTATGAAATATATAGGAGTGGCTTTGAGACCTCGCCTCCTTTTCAATGAATCCAGGCCTAAACATTTCTTAGAGAGTTCAAAACTTTACAGAACAGTTCAGTCTAGTCAGTAAGCATGTCTGATTTCTCATTGGTCAATGGCGATTATGTAATGAAAAAGGTGTGGCTTTAAGACCACACCTATTTTTTATATTCATTTATTTATATATTTTCGGCTTAGTCCCTTTAGTAATTAGGGGTCACCACAGCGGAATGAACCATCAACTTTTCCAGCATATGTTTTACGCAGCAAATGCCCTTCCAGCTGCAATTCCAGTTCACCTAAACCACTTGTGCTTGGACTGTGGGAGAAACCAGAGCACCCGAAGGAAACCCATGCCACCATGGGGAGAACATGCAAACTCCACACAGAAATGTCAACTGACCCATCTGAGGCTTGAACCTGGCCACCGTGCTGCCTTTTTTATATAATCAGACCAAAACATGTTTTGGAGAGTTCAAAAATTTCACTGTTATCAGGGCCGGAGCAAGCGGAACTGCCGCTCTAGGCAGAGGACGATCACGCCACCCTCAACCCCAATGTGAAAACGAAAGTGACCGGTTATGAAAATGAAGTGAGGTGTCGCGGACCTCTTTTCCGGCGCTCTATGCACGGATAGGGAGGGAGGGAGGTGTCGCGGACTGGCGGACACCGCCCTCTCTATTCTGCCGCCCTATGGTGGATATAACTGAGGCCGCGCGGGTGCTGAGGGAGGGAGGTGTCGCGGACACTGCGCTCTTTATTCTGCCGCCCTATGCGCGGATATAACCGAGGACGCGCGGGTGTCGCGGACCTCAATTCTGCCGCCCTATGCGCAAATATAACTGAGGACACGCGGGTGCTGATGGAGGTGCCGCTAACGCTGCCCTCTCTATTCTGCCGCACTATGGTGGATATAACTGAGGACGCGCGGGTGCTGAGGGAGGGAGGTGTCGCGGACACTGCGCTCTTTATTCTGCCGCCATATGCGCGGATATAACCGAGGACGCGCGGGTGTCGCGGACCTCAATTCTGCCGCCCTATGCACAAATATAACTGAGGACACGCGGGTGCTGATGGAGGTGCCGCTGACGCTGCCCTCTCTATTCTGCCGCCCTATGGTGGATATAACTGAGGACGCGCGGGTGCTGAGGGAGGGAGGTGTCGTGGACACTGCGCTCTTTATTCTGCCGCCCTATGCGCGAATATAAATGAGGACACGCGGGTGCTGATGGAGGTGTCGCTGACGCTGCCCTCTCTATTCTATCGTCTATGCGCGAATATATCTGAGGACGCAGGGGAAGTGTCGCGGACATAAATGAGGACGCAGGTGGTAAGGGAGGTGTCGCAGATGCCCCCACTCTATACTGCCGCCCTAGGTGGCCGCCTAGGTCGCCTCTATGGACACGCCGGCCCTGACTGTTATTGTCAAACAGCTCTGAACTCCCCGTGGCAATTATGTAATAAATAGATGTGGTTTCGGGAACCTTGCCTCAATTTGAACAAAATCAGGCCAAATATATATATTTTTTGAAGTTTGAAGCGTTCCCGCCTTGTTTCCAAACAGCTCTGAACTCTCAGGCCCGTTTACGATAATGTGTTTTAGATTTAAAACGGCGTTTTAGGATGAAAACCATCTGCGTCCACACTAGCGTTTCACCCAGCGTTTCTGAACAGCTCTCCATCTACACCAAAACGCTGAAACGCACATCACGTGACCACACACACACACATGCGCTGCAGCCTATCTACCTAGATGAGAGCTGTGCTAGTCGGAGTGTTAATCAAGGATCTCCCGCTGGATCTAATCTCACTTTATTTGCTAATCGTGATATTTAATTCATCTTGTTGTCTTTATCTAACAACATATTACCGAGTTTGGTCTTTTGAATCTACTCATGTTGCTTCTCTCTGGCCGTACTCACACTAATTTTGTACAGTTGCCTCAAACCGGGCCAAAGCATGCTTGTACCCACTCCCGTCTCCCCCGATGGCCCGAACTCACACTACAATCGGGCCTGGGCATGCTTACGTCATCGATGCTGCGCTGTTCAGTAAGCGCTCTCGCTCAGTACAGTGGAGATTTCTCTAGTTATTTCGTTTTAGTAGTTTGTTATGCAGTGACATGCAGTCAAATATTTTGCCAAACAGTCCTTAGGGATGCGGTGACACGCAGTCAGATATTTCGCCCAACAGATCACTTTTGGCGCTCATAAACAGTTATAAAGCTCTCGTGCTGCAGGAATGAGGAGGTCCGCTGAAGGTGCAGCTGTCGTGCAGTGAGGAGTTTACGTATTTAATAAGCTACAGCAGTTTGCGTTCATTGAACAGTAAGATTGATTAATATAAATCCATATGAAACAGTCCCTTAAAAGTCACGTCTCGCTTTCAGTTTCAGGCTTTGGCGCGTTTTGCACTCATACACACAAGCATACCGCTCTTCACCAAGTGAACCGCGCTCAGGCCAACCTCTTCCAACCGGGCCAGGGCTGGCCAAGTGAACCGTACCTGAGCCCGATTCAGCGCACTCACACTTCTCAAACGATCCGGGAAAAGTGTCTGGGCACATTACGGATAGCATAGTGTGAGTAGGCCCTCTGTCTGCCTGTCTGTTGCCAAACACAGAGCGGGAAAGCTCTTGACTCCGCCCCCTTCTTTCATTGGGCAAGATGTCGAAACTTATTTTCATGTGAAGCAACACACCCCTAAAACAGCGACCTGTGTACACACCCCCAAAATAACACATGTGAACACATTATAATAAAAAAATCTGAACTGTGTTTTGAACGGAACCTAAACTGGCACGCTCAGAACAACCATAATATTAATATTAAATCATAAAAAAGGGGTAAACCATGTGCCCTTTAAGAGAGGGAATGCATGTCAAATTGGCCTTAAAATGGGTTTTCCCCTGCAAGACATGGGCTTATACAATGTAAGATCCTACACAGGGTTTACTACACTAATGCTAGACTTGCTAAAATATACCCTTCTGTCAGCGATGCATGTAATAGGTGCAAACAATCACCAGCGGATCTCATCCATATGTTGTGGGAATGCCCCAAATTATTTGTTTATTGGACTAAAATATTTAAAACTTTAAAAGATGCATTCGGCATAGATCTGGATACAAATCCACTTTTGGCCATTTTTGGGTTGGCAGTAGATGCCAACCTTTCAGTAATGGTCCAAAAGGCTTTAGCTTTTACTACTTTAATAGCGAGACGTCTCATTCTTTTAAAGTGGAAACATGTCACTCCACCATCTTTTGATGCATGGATAAAAGAAGTGTTTACTTGTATTAAATTGGAAAAGATTAGACAATCACTTACTGGTTCTTTAAAGGGCCATGAAACCCCCTCGTTTCAGCAGGGCGTTTTCACACCTCTACTTTGGAAAAAGTCAGAAAAGTGGGCGTGTCCAGCTCTGTTTAGGGGGGAGTGTCGGAGGAACTAAAGTGGGAGGGTGTGGGAGTGTCTATTTGGGCACGCGCGAGTTTCAGTCAAAATACACACACAATAGAAAGTGATGGTGTTTAACCTACATGGACATCTGTAGTGGAATTATTTGCCAAATTATTAAATGTTGGACTTTAACTGCAGTTTGGCTCTTTCATTCCCTGAATTCATTCATGCCCCTCGCGACAAACGAGATATTTGATTCGAGGAGCTGCTCTAAGCGTGTATTTTTCATGCAATGTTTGATACCGCACGGCGAATGAGAGAAAAAAAACCTCCGCATTTCCCGGAAACTTAGATGCACACGGCAGGTAGTGTCAGAAAGCCGCGTGTGTTATTCCGGTCACTAAATGCGGTTAAAAACCACACAACAGGACAATCACCAGCAACTAGAGCCGCGTCTTTATTAAGAGAAAACTACAAGCGAATCCGTATCTCAGCGTTTGCAGATGAGAACAGCTCTCAGGTAAACAATAATCCTCCTTAGACACGTAAGTTATTGTTGTCGAGCGTCGCGTACACTGTTAATCCACGCGTTACTCCAGCTGCGCTCTAACAGAGAGAAAATGAAAACGAAACTTAACTGCAGCAAACTATAAAAGCAACACTTCACGCTTGTTTTGCCAACACAACGTGGCTTCGTGTAAACACAGTAATGAATATTAATGAAGTTGCACAATAGAGCGCGCTGATTGGTTTGAACCAAGCCTTACTCATGCATTAATGCAACACACTGTAAGACGTAATAAGACACACTCTGGCACAGACGTCCAGTCTGCACACTGGAATACACGCTATTATGTCATGACCGTGACGCAGCTTCAAAAATTTGTTTCAAACAGGAAGTACGAATTTGCTTGAAATAACGCAAAAACAACCAATTTACACTTTTTAGTGAAATATAGGTGTCCTAATAGTGTTTTTAGCAGTGTGGGACACATATACCACTGTCAACAGCTCAAACAAATGTGTTGGTGTTTCGTGACCCTTTAAAGACCTTTGACAAGTTGTGGCGCCCCTTTTTAGATTAACTACTAGCAAACTCTCTTGATTCTGAAACTGAGCGATAACATAGGAATAAAAACATATTTATTATTTATTTTCATCTTATTTAGTTATTTATCTTTGTTATTTTATTTATTTTTTTACCTTTTTATCATTATGGTTAATTATTAATTTTATTTATCATTATTATTTTATTTTTATGTTTTGCTTTGCTTTTTTCTTAATTTGAAGTCAGAGGCTGTTGAGGGAGGAAAATGTTCAACTGGGGTTGGGGTAGGGTAAACACTAACATGGATGGATAATTATAAAATGACTGTTATGGTTGATATTCCATGTAAGAACCTAATAAAAGAAATTTGAAATGAAATGGGTTTTCCCACACTACAAAACAGTAATTTTGCACCACAGTTAAAAGTGTAGGGTTCAATTCTCTGACAGCAAGAACGAAACATCACAAATTTCAAAGTAGAGAGACGCCACCAGCCTGTAACCTCAGCAGAACAAATCTTCAAGATTTACCGGCCACAACTGCGGCTATGAATCTCCCGAGACCCGACGAGACGGACCTCACAGGAACAAGTTAAATCAATCCAAGCTTAATTAAACTCACTCCCGCAGAGTTTCCCGCATGTATAGGTGTTAAATTTAGCCACAGTAATCTAACAGAGTAGATTCCTGTAGATCACCGGCGATGGCCTGACAGAGTCTGATATGTGGGCTGAAGTTTACAATGGGACTCTGAAAATGGCAGATCTGTGGAGGCTCTCGCTTTATAACCCGTGACTAAAACCTTTCCAATGTGGATGAGAAGGAGGGTCAAAGGCCATGAGGGAACAAATGCAATGCCTTAACAAGATTATCAGCCCAAAGCCCAGAAGAGAGAACAAGAATAGGTTCAAGAATGGAGTCCTGCCGCAGGTTTTGAGCAGAAAGGCAAATATTAATCGGTAAATGACTCAATTAAAGGGGTAGTTCATTTACACGCTATTTACTCACCTTCGAGTGGTTTCAAACCCTGAGTTGATATTTTGAAGAAAGCTGTAAACCTGTGACTTCCATAGTAGGAAAAATACTACTATTTTGGGAATAAAAGGTTAGAGGTTTGCAGCATTTTTCTAAATATCTACTTTTGTGTTCAGGAGAATAAGAACAACAAACTCATAAAGGTTTGAATCAAGTAAAGGGTGAGTAAATGGTGACAGAACTTTCATTTTTGGGTGAACTACCCCTCTAAATCATTACCAGTGTATCTGTATATTAGACAACAAGAGAGACTGAGTTAAAAATAAAGCATGCAATTAGGTGAACAAACAAATGACTGATTGGTCAGTAGAAGTAATGAACAGACATAATGAACGAATAAATGAAGGAATGAACAAATGATTGAGAGAATGATAGAGGGATAGGAAGATAGACAGAATGAGAGAGAATGACTGACTGAATAATATAATGGTGGATAAAATGACAGATGGATGGATGGATGGATGGATGAATGGGTGGATGGGTGGATGGATGGTGGATGGGTGGGTGGGTGGATGGATGGATGGATGGATGGGTGGATGGATGGGTGGATGGATGGATGGATGGATGGATGGATGAGTGAATGGATGGATGGGGGGGATGGATGGGTGGGTGGATGGGTGGATAGGTGGATGGATGGACAGATGGGTGGATGGACGGATGGGTGGATGGACGGATGGATGGATGGACGGATGGATTGGTGGATGGATGGATGGATTGATGGATGGGTGGATGGGTGGGTGGATGGTGGATGGGTGGATGGATGGATGGATGGATGGATGGATGGATGGATGGATGGATGGATGGATGGATGGGTGGATGGATGGATGGGTGGATGGATGGGTGGATGGATGGATGAGTGGATGGATGGATGTGGGGGATGGATGGGTGGGTGGATGGACAGATGGGTGGATGGACGGATGGGTGGATGGACGGATGGATGGATGGACGGATGGATTGGTGGATGGATGGATGGATGGATGGGTGGATGGATGGATGGGTGAATGGATGGGTGAATGGATGGATGGGTGGGTTGGTGGATGGATTGATGGGTGTGTGGATGTATGGATGGATGGATGGGTGGGTAAGTGGGTGGGTGGATGGATGGATGGGTAGATAGATAGATAGATAGATAGATAGATAGATAGATAGATAGATAGATAGATAGATAGATAGATAGATAGATAGATAGATAAAAGGGGAGGAGCTGTTGGTAAAGAGGTAGATGTAAACCAATGGGAGAAGCAGCAGCATTTGACAAAGAGGAGTAGTAGAGGAGCTAATGGAAAGGGGAGGGGCTATTAAAAAAGTAGAAGCTGCGAATAGAGGGGAGGAGCTATCAAAAAGGGGAGGAGCTGCTGATGAAGGGGAGAGGCTTATGGTGGAGTTGAGGGCATATGAGGAATGATGAAGAGGAGAAGCTGATAGTGAAGGGGAGGAGTTCATGGTGAAGGAGAGGAGCTAGTGGAAAAAGAGGAGGAGCTATGACAAAGGGGTGGAACTGATGGTAAGGGGAGGAGCTAATGCTGAAGGGGAGAAGCTTATGACAATGGGGAGGGGCGGATGGTGAAGGGTAGGACCTATTACTGAAGGAGAGGGGCAGTCAAGGCTGCTGCTGAAGGGGAGGAGCTCATGGTAAATGAGATGAGCTATTGGAGAAGGGGAGGAGCTTATGACAAAGGGTAGGGAACTGATGGTGAAGGGGAGGGGCTATCAAATAAGGGAGAAGCTGCTGATGAAAAGGAGGGGCTTATAGTAAAGAAGAGGGGCATAAGGTGAAGGGGAGAGGCTTATGACGAAGAGGAGGAGCTGATGTTGATGGGGAGGAGCTAATGGAGAAGGGGAGAAGCTTATGATGGAGAGGAGCTAATGGAGAGGGGGGAGGAGCTAATTATGAAGGAGAGTGCTAATGATAGGACAGGAGCTGATGGTGAAAGGGAGGAGCTGATGGAGAAGGGGAGAGGCTTATGACAAAGAGGAGAAGCTGATAGTGAAGGAAGGACCTGCTAATTAAGGGGAGGAGCAAATTGAGAAGGGGGAGGAGCTAATGATGAAGGGGAGGTATGGTGGTGAAGGAGAGGGGCTGCTTATGAAAGGGAGGAGATGATGGAGAAGACATGGGGCTTATGACAAAGAGGATGAGCTGACTGCAAAGGGGAGGAGCTGCCGATGAAGGGAAGGGGCTAATGGAGAAGGGGGAGGAGCTAATTATGAAGAGGGGCTGATGAAGAAAAGAAAAAGCTGATTGTGATAGGGAGGGGCTTATGATGAAGAAGAGGAGCTTATAATGATGTGGAGGGGCTGATGCTGAAGGGGAGTGGCTAATTATGAAAGGGTGGAGCTAATAATGAAGGGGAGGAACTAATGGAGAAGGAGAGGAGCTGTTGCTAGTGTGCCATTTGAGATACATGGGCAGACAGAGAGACAGGCAGATGCTCCACCTTTAGTACTGGAGGCTTTGGGTGTCCTGTGAGAGCTCCAGGCGGACGGTTCTCCCCAGCCCACAGCGGTGGCGGCAGCGATGCGGAGCAGGTATGTGGTGTCAGGCTGCAGACCCTCCAGCAGCTGATGGGTTTTGTGTGCCGAGAGCTCCAGCTGTGTCAGCGTCCCGTCTGAGCTGGTCCTGTAGGAGAGGCGATACGCAGACACACGGCCACGGCTCAGCTTATGAGACAAAGGCTGCCACGACACCTGAATATCAGAGGGACTGCGGCTCGTCAGGCTCAGCTCAGGGGCACGCAGGGGCACTGAAACAGAGACAGAAAACAACAATAAAACTTCCTGAAGAATATTAATACTATGTGGCTGTTGAATGCTTGATTCTGATTGGCTGATGAGCATTCTAAGGTGTGCTGTTATTTGCAGATAAACACACAGCTAAAGTAGTTCCAGCAGGTTTCGTACGCATTACCGCTCCATATCACTACACTGAATGATTTCAGTCATTATACAGCTACAACAGTCAAATACTGTATAATCTTTTAAACGTGAGCTCACCGTCCTCCAGTGTGTGCTGTATGACATGGTCTGACATGCGGCTGGCTCCCATCGGCATGTACGCCACGATGTAGAAAGTGTAGTTCCTCCCGGCCTCCAGGTCATCAATGATGTAGCGGGTGGTATCGTTACCGATTACAATCTGGTACTCTTCGTTATTTAGACCTGTTGAGACATGACAAGCTTAAATGTTTCACCATCAATGGAAAGCTATGCGAATTTGGCTGCTGTTGATAGACATAGCAGAACATTAATGCTTGCAATGCCATGGCCATGTGTTTGATTTTAAGGGAATGCATGGATGATAAAATGCATGCATTAAATTCAACAAATTTCTGATATAAATAAACTTCATGCTTAAATTCAAACTAATAATGCACAAAAAGATGTGAAAACGTATTATAGTCTGATAATTATGGTCAGCTTTTTATTTTTGCATTCATAGAATGCATCTTCATAGAAAATTAGCATTCATTCATTCATTTTCTTTTCGGCTTAGTCGCTTTATTCTTTTGAGGTCGCCACAGCGGAATGAACCGTGACCTTCTTGCTGTGAGGTGATCGTGCTACTCACTGCACCACTGTGACGCAATCATAGAAATTTAGTTTCTTAATTTTTTTTTATTTGGTATAAAAACAAGGGCAATATGTTAAAAAAGGAAAGAAAAGTAAAGAATAGATGTAAAAGTATGTAGAAAATAAAATCATATTTAGGACAAAAGAAAAGAAGAAAAGAAAGAAAGAAAGAAAGAAAGAAAGAAAGAAAGAAAGAAAGAAAGAAAGAAAGAAAGAGAAAAAAGAAAAAACTAAAGAAAAAAATTAAAGAAGAAAAAATAAAGAAAATCCAAAAAAAATTGAAAAAGAAAAAAAGAAAGAAGGAAAAAAAAGAAAAGCAGAAAGACATGTAGATAATAACATCAATAGTACTTAGGAAAATGGGAAAAAATAAAAAATATGATACAAATCTGAAAAAAATTCAAAAGAAAAAAGAAAAGAAAAAAATAAGAAAAAGAAAAAAGGAAAGAAAAAAAAGAAAAAAAAAGAAAAAGGACAAAAAGAAAATGAAATTTTTAAAAGAAAAATGGAAAGAAAAATAAGCACAGAAGTCAGCAGAAAAGCATTTAGAAAAAACATCCATAGGACAGAAAAAAAGAAAAGAGAAAATAAAAGAAGAGAAAAAGAAAACAATGTAAAGTAAAAAAAGAAAAGAAAAGAATATAGTTGTAAATGCATGTAGAAAACAAAGACATCCTTAGTACATAGAAAAAAAGGAAAAGAAGGAAAGAAAAATAAAGAAAGAATCTGAAATGTTTTTAAAAAAAATTAAATTAAATCAAATAAATCAAAAAATCTGAGAATATTAAAAAAGAAAATAAAGAAAAATAAAAATAAAATAAAGAAGAAAAAAAACAAAAAAAAGAAAAGATAAAAATGAAAAGAACTTTTTTAATAGAACAAAATGAAGCATATTGAACTCAGCAGAAAGGATGTAGAAAAAACAAACTTAGGACATAAAAAATAAAACAAATAAAAGAAAAACAAAATAAAAAACGAAAGAAAAGAAAACCTTAACAAAAATTAAAAAGAAGAAAAGAAAAGGAAAGTATAGCTGTAAAAGCACGCAGTAAAAAAAACTTTTTAGGACAAAAGAAAAAAGAAACAAAAGAAAAAATTAGAAAAAGAAAAGACAAAAAAATTAAACAAAAAAAAGATGAAAGAAAAAGAAGGAAAAACAACGAGATGGATGAAATGGATAAAGCAAGGAGCGACATTGATCATAACAATTTTCCTTGTTATTAAAGTGTTAAAGCTGCAATGCATACATAATTTGTTCAATGTGCATTTCATTCAGCTCCCACCCTTTTTCCAATCCAAGCATTATATATGCAAGAGGTTTTTAACTCCGATCCTGGGCATCTACACAAAACCCATTGGTCAACATAAAAAAGAAGCACGTCAACTCAATCAGCGCAACCTTTTCTTTCTTTAAACTGCTTATTATCAATGCAGCTAATGGCAAATTCCACCTGCTGGTTTTCCCACCGTTCCAGCGCACCTGATAACACTTTAATGAGCCCACGTTTAGATGCTCAAATAAAAGAAACGCTCTCCAGCACTCAATTTCTGACCCAATAAACAAGATACTCCAAGCGTCAACAGAAAAGGCCTTGTTTCCGGCGCTGAATAGAGGACTCTGACTCTGACGCATCGAGAAAAACACACAAAGCCTCTTCAGCGCTAGATTAAGACACTCCAACACTGGCGATAATTAGCCCTCTTTTTTGCACCCCTTTCCACACCACTTCCGATGCTTTTTGCCCTCCAGAGCAGATGCGGAGGTATTCATTAACCCAAGCTATTCTCTTCTGACAATAAATGGCCTGGAATTCTGGAAGTCCAAGTGCAAAAACATCCTGAATGAAGATTTTTGACACTCGGACGTCTCATTGTTTTTCTCTTCTTATCTGCTCACAGGCTGGCAGGTGTTTTATTTGGACGTCGCTCTCTAAAGCTAACAGACTGTCAATGGATTTAATTCGCAAACATATGTTTATATAAATACATACAGCTGAAATCAGAATTATTAGCCCTCCTGTATATTTTGTTCCCCCATTTCTGTTTAACGGAGAGATTTGTTTTTACACATTTCTAATCATAATAGTTTTAATAACTCATTTCTAATAACTGAATTAATTTCTCTTTGCCATGATGACAGTAAGTAATATGTGACTAGACGGTAGTATTCAACTTAAAGTGACATTTAAAAGCTAAAATAGGTTAATTAGGGTAAAGTTAGGGTAATTAGACAAGTCATTGTTTAACAGTGGTCTATTCTGTAGACAATCCAAAACAAATATTGCTTAAGAGGGCTAATAATTTCACCTTAAAATGCTTTTATAAAAATTAAGAAATGTTTTTTTTCTAGCCAAAATAAAAGAAATCAGACTTTCTCCAGAAGAAAAAAAAATATAGCAAATACTGTAAAAAATTCCTGAATCTGTTTAACATCATTTGGGAAATATTTGAAAAAGAAAAAAATTCACAGAACCTCAACTGTATGTACTTAAAATTCTATAATTAGGATCAATAAATTGTCATAAATATCCATAAAACCAAGAAAAACTTTAATACAAAATACTGATTACGGTATTGATTTTGTGGGAAAATGTGCTTATTAATTTTCTATAGTTTATATAATAACATAGAAAATATTTTTCATTTTATTTTATTTTATTTTTTGTTTTATTTCATTTCATTTCATTTTATTTTATTTTATTTTATTTTATTTTATTTTATTTTATTTTATTTTATTTTATTTTTTTTTTTTTTTTATTTTATTTTATTTTATTTTATTTTATTTTATTTTATTTTATTTTATTTTATTTTATTTTATTTTATTTTATTTTATTTTATTTTAAAGCATATCAGATCCAAGAATGATGAGAATGGTGAGAACAACAGAGCTGGCTATGTGTGTCTGTTGTAATGTAATGTAATGTGATGTTATGTAATAACATAAAATTTAATTAAAATAAGTGTAATTAAATTAAATTAATAAAATTTAATAAAAAAATTAAATAACAATAAAAATCTAATAAAATTACATTAAATTAAATAAAAATATATAATATAATATAAAATTAAAAATAAAACACAATAAAATTTAAATAAAATAAGATAAAATAAAATATAATATAAAATAAATAAATAATATAATAAAAATATAATAAAATATAATTTTATATAAAATATAATAAAATGAAACAAAACAAAACATGAATTAAATTAAAATTAAAATAATAAAATAAAACAAAAAATTTATTGTTTTAATCTAATAAAATAAAACAAAATAAATAAATAAAAAATTACAAATAAAAATATATAATTAAATAAAAATACAAATAGGTTTTTTTGCATAAGTAATTTTTTTTTTGCATTGCCACCATATTCTGAATCCTCATTGCTATAATATAATACAATACTCTATTTTTTTTTTAAATTTGTCATATTAAAATAAGGAAACTATTCTATTATATACTATTCTGTTCTGTTCCATTAAAATAAATCTAAATCTTGGGAAAATCATGATTTAAAGTTGTCCAAATGAAGCTCTTAAATGCAAATGATACACACGGCAATGTTGCAGGTTAGATATTTGATTACTGTCTATTAAAAAAGGGCAGCAATATTGCATCTTTAACCCACAGCTCAATAAGATGCCCTGTGTCTGACCTGGTTGCCCATTTACTGCGTCATTTCCCTAAGTTGCGAGGGCAACATTGCTCAAAACGCTGCCCTGTATATCATCAGCATTAGTGATGCATGTGTTTTAATGTTAATATATGAAACCCTCACCTTCCGCCTTCATGTAGTGCACAGAATAAGCAATGACTTTCTCAGAGTTGTACGCGGGTCTGTCCCAGGCGAGCAGGATGGCGGAGCTGGACACGGTGTCAGCACGGATGTTTCGGGGAGCGCTGGGTCGATTATCAGACATCACCACGATCAGACGAGCCATAGCCAGAACTGAACCCTGAATGTTCTCCGCCTCACACTGATAGATGCCGTCGTCTTCTGGGATGATTTGGTTAATCACCAGTTTACTGCCAAAACACACAGAGAAGGCTTTTAATACATGCTTCATAACATTATCATTACAAAATAGCAAAAACATATAATGCAAAAACCCTTATTTAATGCACAATTTGTGTTTTTAACAAACTATTAACCAGTACTTTGAGCACAATAAACTACTCATTTGCATATATTGTCACCAGTTTACTGCCAAAACACACAGCAAGAGCTTTTTGTACTCTAAAACATTCATTCATTCATTCATTCATTTTCTTTTCGGCTTAGTCCCTTTATTAATCTGGGGTCTCCACAGCGGAATGAACCGCCAACTTATCCAGCATTTGTTTTAAGCAGTGGATGCCCTTCCAGCTGCAACCCATCTCTGGGAAACATCCATACACACTCATTCACACTCATACACTACAGACAATTTATCTTACCCAATTCACCTGTACCACATGTCTTTGGACTGTGGGGGAAGCCAGAGCACCTGGAAGAAACCCACCCATGAGCTTGGAAAACATGCATACTCCTCTTTAAAACATTATTATTACAAAATATAAAAAAACATATGGTCACGCTTTATTTTAATGCGCAATTTATGTTATTAACAAACTATTAACCAGGGCCAGACGGAATCTGCGGAAGTTTTTTGCTATTTCTGCAGAGAATTTTAATAAAATTCGGTGGATTTCTGCTAAATTATTTTGGGAGTATCATAACTAAAACCTTAATTTGTGAAATAAAAAGTAATACCTTTTTAACTTTTATTGAATGTTTAAATCGCAAATCCAATTAGATGCACTTTATTTGGCAAACAAAGCAAGTCTCTCATATAATATCTCTACTAAAAGACAGAATTATTACTGTACAAACTGCATTGTGAATAAATCAGATGCACATTAGTCAATAATATTACTGTAACTAATAAAAAACGGAATAAATAGAGATATTACACACATTTACTCAAGTAAATAAACAGAATTAATGATGGGCGAGAAATCAGCAGAAATCTGCAAAAAATCTGCAGAATTCTGCATGAGCAGATTCCGCGTGGGCCTACTATTAACTAATACTTTTAGCTAGGGGTGTAACGATTTATCGTTGTACGATTTATTGCGATGCAAAAATGTCACTATTTGCATCGTGGCGATATGACGATTTGATTACGATATGACGTCCGTTTTCTCTCATTAGTTGAGCTGTTTGCACGTGAGCTACGTTCCACCTGCTGTCGCACGTGAGTTCAGATTGCAGCAGCAGTAATGTTAGCAGACCAAGATGAGTGGAGCTGAAATAGAGGATGGCCCATCCTCTCAAAATCAGACGTCTATCAACATTTCGGTTGTACAGTCATTGCTTTAGACTCGTCCGCTTTTTGACACGCATACTGGGTCAAACATCCTAAGTTTTAAAGTCTTCACAGTGATTTACATACTTTGCACAGCGACATGGAGACCTCCTAATGGTGTTGAAAGAGTCACATACTGTATTTATAAGGTACAATTCACCCTAAAATATCATTCTGTCTTCATATAATGTTCCCGCCGCAAAATCACACATGACGTGAGCTGACCGTGAGCTGTTACTACAGAGGGCGGAATATGATAGACGCGCGCGTATGGCAAGCCGTTTTAGCATTTAAACCTTTGTTCTGACTAGCCATAAATATATTTAGAGATATCTCTAATTATATTTTGACTAGTCATAATTATAATTCGACTAGTCAGAATGACAATTAGAGATATCTGCAATTACAATTGTACTAGAACGAAATTAGATTGGAGATATCTGCAAATATATTATGACTAGTCATATTCCTCCATTGACTTCCATTGAAAAATATTTGCAGATATCTCTAAATGAGTTTTGACTAGTCACAATTGTAATTAGAGATATCTCTAACTGAATTTAATTAAATATGAATTTAATACCTGCAAATGTGGATTTTTTTTGCACACACAAAAAACGCAAGTGACCAAGCAAAGCCTTAAGCTCTTACTAAATTCAATTGAATAGAAAGCTCTTTTTTTTTTTGCACCTTTACTTAAATTGTTCCTTAATTTTGTCTCTGTCATTTCAATAATATTTTTAAGAAGTTTTTAAATTGTTTTATTTTCCAGAGACAGGCCTGTTTAATTTATTTTCTTAAAGAAGGTTCAGTTTAACAAGTTGAAACAAAAGAAATGCATAAAAAATAGTTTACTTGGTAAAATTTGCATTTCAGTTTAATTTTCAATTTTTATTCCAAATATCGTGATACATATCGAATCGTGAACATTATATCGTGATACACATCGTATCAGGAGCTGAGTGTAACGTTACACCCCTACTTTTAACTCAATGAACTACTAATTTGCATCTACAGTGCATCCGGAAAGTATTCATAGCGCTTCACTTTTTCCAAATTTTTTCTATGTAACTTTTTCAAATTTCAAAATGGATTTAATTATTTTCTTCAACATTCTACACACAATCCCCCATAATGACAATGAAAAAAAATTGTTTTTGAAATTGTTGCAAACTTAAAGTAAAAGACCTGTAAAATCACATGTACATCAGTATTGACAGCCTTTGGCGTGAAGCTCTTAATTGAGCTCAGGTACATTGATTCACGCTTTAGTTTAATGCACTATTAACATAGACTTTTAGCTTAATAAACTACTAATGTGCTGCTCATTATTATATATTAGTGTGCATCCCATTTACAAATGTTACAAAATTCTCATTACTGTATTGATTTTTGGAGGGCAAATTCATTTTCCACAATAACATATTATTTTATTATATTATTATATGTTCTTAGTTACATTATGCTATTAAATTCTTTCTACTATTAGAATTTATTTCGAAAAGTGCTTAATTTCCTTTACACAATGTAAAAATGTGAAGTAAATAAATAATAAATTTGATCTAATACGATGTAAAATTGTAAATAAATAAGTTGGAACATGGTGGCACGGTGGCTCAGTGGTTAGCACTGTTGTCTCACAGCGAAAAGGTTGCTGGTTCGAATCCTGGCTGGGCCAGTTTGTCATTCCTGAAACCTCTGGGTGCTCTACAGTCCAAACACATGCGCTATAGGCGAGATGAATAAACTACTGTAAATTGGCCATAGTGTATGTGTGTGTGTGAGTGAGAGTGTATGGGTGTTTCCCAGTAATGGGTTGCCACTGGAAGGGCATCCGCTGTGTAAAACATATGCTGGAATAGTTGGCGGTTCATTCCACTGTGGCAACCCCTGATAAATAAGGAACTAAGCGGAAAACTAGAATAAACCAAGACATGCTTGTTTAACAGGAGCGTGTTTATGTTGAAATGAGCCAATCGATAGCAGTAGCCTAAATGTCTCGCCCCTCCCTTTCTGCTTTCAGGAGCCCATAACGAAGGCAGACAGGAAAACAAACGAGAGGAAAATCAAAGAGAAAATCAGCTCAAACACCATTAGCAGAGCGCTGAATAATTCACTCTCTCTTGTTCCACAGAAGAAACCAGCTGATGAATATTTCAGCAGGACTCAGTTTCCAGCAGACAAATGAGTCAAGCCCTGAGAAACATCCGTTTGAGCACGTAGACATTCACTACACATAAATCTGACAAACAAATCAGCGACAGGCAATAATTTAAGAGTTTTTTAGGGATGTAAAACAAGTCTCTGATGTCTATATAATAACGTTGAGGCTCAAAATACCACACAAATATTGTTTTATAACTCTCTGAAACTAAGTACAACGTACTTATTTTTGATGTAAGAACATCGATCTTATTTCTGCTTGTGCATGTTTACACTGCAGTACCTGTTATACATCTTGATGCGTCCATTTGAGCGCACAGGTTCTCCGTTCTTCAGCCACGTGATCTGAGGGGTCGGAAAACCCTCCGCCGTGCACACAAAGCGAGCCGTTCCTGCCCGTGGTCGAGTCACGCTTTCTGGCCACTCCACAAGAGATGGCGGCGCTGCGGACAAACAAAAATATGAAAACATTTTCATACTGCCATTTACGATCTTAAAATGAATCAATTAATCAATAATTTACAATTGGGACAAATTGTTAAAAGTAAGTTGATTATGTGATTCAAAGCTGAATTTTTATCATAATTTCTCCAGTCTTCAGTGTTACGGGATCCTTCAGAATAAGCTCAATAGATGCACAATCATCACTAATTAATCAAATAAATTTTAAAATACATACATACATACATATATATATATATATATATATATATATATATATATATATATATATATATATATACACA